ACCCACAGATCTCCCAACACAAGGGACCCAAGGAGGACAACACCAAGACATATAATAATTAAAATGGCAAAGATCAAAGACAAGGACAGAGTATTAAAGGCAGCCAGAGAGAGAAAAAAGATCACCTACAAAGGAAAACCCATCAGGCTATCATAAGACTTCTTAACAGAAACCTTACAGGCCAGAAGAGAATGGCATGATATATTTAATGTAATGAAACAGAAGGGCCTTGAACCAAGAATACTGTATCCAGCACGGTTATCATTTAAATATGAAGGAGGGATTAAGCAATTCCCAGACAAGCAAAAGTTGGAATCTGCCTCCCACAAACCACCTCTACAGGAATTTATAGGCACTACTCTAGAAGGAAGCTCTCAGGGGCTAACAGATGTCACCAGAGAAAAAAAAATCACAGCAAAGAAAGCAGACCAACAAAATACTAACTAAGGGCAAAAAATTAAATCAACTATCCACAAAAGCAGTGAAAAGAAATACAAGAGAGTTCAGAATAAAACACCTAACGTATAAAGGATGGATAGAATAAGAAGGGAAAGAAATAAAGAATCATCAGACTGTGTTTATAATAGCTTAATAAGAGAGTTAAGTTAGACAGTTAAATAGTAAAGAAGCTACCCTTGAACCCTTGGTAACCAAAGCCTGCAATGGCAGTAAGTACATATCTTTCAATAATGACCCTAAACGTAAATGGACTGACTGCACCAACCAGAAGACACAGAGTAAAAGAATGGATAAAAAAGCAAGACCCATCTATATGCTGCTTACAAGAGACTCACCTCAAACCCAAAGACATGCACAGATTAAAAGTCAAGGGATGGAAAAAGATATTTCTTGCAAACAATAGGGAGAAAAAAGCAGGCGTTGCAGTACTTGTATCAGAGAAAAATAGATTTCAAAACAAAGAAAGTAACAAGAGACAAAGAAGGACATTATATAATGATAAAGGGGTCAATCCAACAAGAGGATATAACCATTATAAATATATATGCCCCAACACAGGGGCATCTACATATGTGAAAAAAATACTAACAGAATTAAAGGGGGAAATAGAATGCAATGCATTCATTTTAGGGGACTTCAACACACCACTCACTCCAAAGGACAGATCTACCAGACCGAAAATAAGTAAGGACACAAAGGCACTGAACAACACATTAGAACAGATGGACGTAACAGACATCTACAGAACTCTACACCCAAAAGCAGCAGGACACACATTCTTCTCAAGTGCACATGGAACATTTTCCAGAATAGACCACATACTAGGCCACAAAAAGAGCCTCAGTAAATTAAAAGAGACTAAAATTCTACCAAACAACTTCTCAGATCACAAAGGTATAAAACTAGAAATAAAGTGTACAAAGAAAACAAAAAGACTCACTTAACAACATCTTCCTAAATAATCAATGGATCAATGACCAAATTAAAACAGAGATCAAGCAATATATGGAGACAAATGACAACAACAGTACAAAGCCCCAACTTCTGTGGGATGCAGCGAAGGCAGTTCTAAGAGGAAAGTATATAGCAATCCAGGCCTATTTAAAGAAGGAAGAACAATCCCAAATGAATAGTCTAAAGTTACAATTATTGAAAGTGGAAAAAGAACAAATGAGGCCCAAAGTCAGTAGAAGGAGGGACATAATAAAGATCATAGAATAAATAAAATCGAGATGAATAAAACAATAGAAAAAGTCAATGAAACCAAGAACTGGTTCTTTGAGAAAATAAACAAAACAGATAAACCCCTAGCCAGACTTATTCAGAGAAAAAGAGGATCTACACACATAAACAGATTCAGAAATGAGAAAGGAAAAATCACAACAGACCCCACAGAAATACAAAGAATTATTAGAGAATATGAAAATATATATACTAACAAACTGGAAAATCAAGAAATGGACAACTTTCTAGAAAAATACAACCTTCCAAGACTGACCCAGGAAGAAACAGAAAACCTAAACAGACTACTTACCAGCAACAAAATTGAATCACTAATCAAAAAACTACCCAAGAACAAAACACCTGGACCAGGTGGATTCACCACTGAATTTTATCAGACATATAGAGAAGACATAATATCAATTCTCCTTAAAGTTTTCCAAAAAAGTATAGCAGGAGGGAATAATTCCAAATTCATTCTATGAAGCCAGCATCACTCTAATACCAAGACTAGGCAAAGAGCCCACCAAAAAAGAAAATTACAGACCAATATTCCTGATGAACATAGATGCGAAAATACTCAACAAAATATTAGCAAACCAAATTCAAAAATACATCAAGAGGATCATACACCATGATCATGATCAAGTGGGATACTATCAGGGAAGCAAGGAAGATACAATATTAGAAAATTGATCTATAACAAAAAGAAGCACAAAAACCACATGATCATCTCCATAGATGCTGAAAAAGCATTTGACAAAATTCAACACACATTCATGATAAAAACTCTCAATAAAATGGGCATAGAGGGCAAGTACCTCAACATAATAAAGGCCATATATGACAAACCTACAGCCAACATCATACTTAACAGTGAGAAGCTGAAAGCTTTCACCTAAGATCAGGAACAAGACAGGGATGCCCACTCTCCCCACTGTTATTCAACATAGTACTGGAGGTCCTAGCCACAGCAAGCAGACAAAACAAATACAAGGCATCCAGAAAGAAGTCATACTGTCCCTGTTTGCATATGACATGATATTGTACATAAAAAAACCCTAAAGAACCCACTCCAAAACTATGAGAATATCTGAATTCAGCAAAGTTGCAGGATATAAAATTAATACACAAAATTCTGTTGCTTTCCTATACACTAATGATGAACTAGCAGAGAAATCAGGAAAACAATTCCATTCACAATTGCATCAAAAATAATAAAATACCTAGGAATAAACCTAACCATGGAAGTGAAAGACCTATACCCTGAAAACTACAAGACACTCTTAAGAGAAATTAAAGAGGACACTAACAAATGGAAATTCATACTATGCTCTTGGCTAGGAAGAATTAATATTGTCATGGCCATCCTGCCTAAAGCAATCTACAGATTCAATGCAATACCTGTCAAAATACCAATAGCATTCTTCAACGAACTGGAACAAATAGTTCTAAAATTCATACGGAACCACAAAAGACCCCGACTAGCCAAAACAATCGAACAAAGAAGGAACAATAAAGCAAGGGGGATCTCGATTTCCAACTTCAAGCTCTACTACAAAGCCACAGTAATCAAGACAATTTGGTACTGGCACAAGAACAGAGCCATAGACCAGTGGAACAGAATAGAGAGAGTCCAGATATTAACCCAAACATATATGGTCAAATAATATCCAATAAAGGAGTCATGGATATACAAGGGGGAAATGACAGCCTCTTCAACAGTTGGTGTTGGCAAAACCGGACAGCTACATGTAAGAGAATGAAAGTGGATCACTGTCTAACCCCATACACAAAAGTAAATTAGAAATGGATCAAAGACCTGAATGTTAGTCATGAAACCATCAAACTCTTAGAAAAAAACATAGGCAAAGATCTCTTGGACATAAACACAAGCAACTTCTTCATGAACATATCTCCCCGGGCAAGGGAAACAAAAGCAAAAATGAAGAAGTGAGACTATATCAAGCTTAAAAGCTTCTGTACAGGAAAGGACACCACCAATAGAACAAAAAGGCATCCTACAGTATGGAAGAATATATTCATAAATGACAGATCCGATAAAGGGTTGACATCCAAAATATATAAAGAGCTCATGTGCCTCAACAAACAAAAAGCAAATAATCCAATTAAAAAATGGGCAGAGGAGCTAAAAGGACACTTCTCCAAAGAAGAAATTCAGAGGGCCGACACATGAAAAGATGTTCCAAATTGCTAATCATTCAGAGAAATGCAAATCAAAACCACGATATCACCTCACCCGTCAAGATGGCCACCATCCAGAAGACACACAACAGATGTTGGCAAGGATGTGAAGAAAGGGGAACCCTCCTACACTGCTGGTGGGAATGTAAATTAGTTCAAACATTGTGGAAAGCAGTATGGAGCTTCCTCAAAAAACTCAAAATAGAAATACCATTTTACCCAGGAATTTCATTCCTAGGAATTTACCCTAAGAATGCAGCAGCCCAGTTTGAAAAAGACATACGCATCCCTATGTTTATCACAGCACTATTTACAATAGCCAAGAAATGGAAGCAACCTAAGTGTCCATCAGTAGATGAATGGATAAAGAAGAAGTGGTACATATACACAATGGAATATTATTCAGCCATAAGAAGAAAACAAATTCCACCATTTGCAACAAAATGGATGTAGCTAGAGGTTATTATTCTCAGTGAAATTAGCCAGGTGGATAAAGACAAGTATCAAATGATTTCACACATCTGTGGAGTGTAAGAACAAACAGAAAAACTGAAGGAACAGAACAGCAGCAGACTCACAGAACCCAAGAATGGACTAACAGTTACCAAAGTGAAAGGGACTGGGGAGGATGGGTGGGAAGGATAAGGGGAGAAAAGGGGACACTACGATCAACACACATAATGTAGGGGGGTACAGGGGGCAGGCAGTATAACACAGAGAAGACAAGTAGTGATTCTACAGCATCTTCTTAGTATGCTGATGGACAGTGACTGTAATGGGGTACAGCAACAATTTACAGAAGACTCTCTTTGTACACTGGTGTGAGATGGTATGTGTGCCACTACCATTTACCAATTAGGAAGTCAGAGATCAGAGTTACCAGTTTAGCCAACATCCCCAGGACATGGAAGGGGCAGAGATGCTATGGAGAGCATGTGTTTTTCTTCATATTTCTCAACTACTCAGGGCCTCCATTCCTTTTAACCTTTTTTCTCTGATTTTAGAAGTTTCAGGTATTCATTGTAGGCAGACTTGGAAGACACAGAAAAGCACAAGAGAAAGTTAAATCACCTGTAATCTTAATACCCAGAGATAACCAGTACAGCACTTTGAGATTATATTTTCAGTATTTTAATCACATATATTCCTTACATGGAATCAGATTGTAGTCTTACATTTTAAGATATAAATGCTCTGCCATTTAATAGTTTTAAGATTTTGTATACATTCATGATTGTTTCTGAAGCACATTTCCATGTAAAAATTTTATGTTAGAAAGCAGTAGCTTAAGGCTTCTGGTACAGATTGCCAGAGACAGCATCTACTCACATCTCACAAGCAGCATAAGTCTCAATGTCCCTGAATTTTGTTAGATGAAGGAAAAAATGCCATCTTGCATTAATACACAATTTAAATTCCAGCAAGGCTGAACATTTATTATCTCTTGGCATTTATTCTTTTGTGACTGCTTACTTTTTCTACTGGAACACTTTCATGTGCTGGGAGACAGTATAGAGAAGTGGCTCTACAGTAGGGCTGTGGATTCCTACTGCCTAGGCTTAAAGGCTGACCTCACCACTTTTCAGCTCTAAGACCTTGAGTAAGCCATGATCCTAAGCCTTCATTTCCTCAAGCGCAAAATACGGGCCATCTGAGAAATAATGAATACATAATTGCAAAGCCCTTAGCAAGTTTCTATTGTTTCCTGTTCAAATATGTAAGCACTCTCTATATAAAGAATGTCCCTTTTGTGATGTATGTCTTGCCAATCCTACATCTGTCCTATCCTTTTGCGTGTTTGGGTCTTTCTTTACAAAGAGGAAAGTTAAGAGCTGAACAGCTCTATGTTTTTTTGTTAGTTTGCCACCTTTCCCAAATGACCCTACCTCTTTGCTTTTTTTACATTTTCTCCAAGCACGGGCACTTAGCACCTGCCACTCTTGCTGGTTAGTGCACTGTCATCTGTGTGCCCCAACAGGAGCATTACTTCTGCATTTACCTCTCAAGAACTCTTTTCCCATGCACAGAATTCTACATTCTCACAAGACTTCTATTTGGTAAGGTGTGTTACAACTCCAACAGATTAGATATATCATATAACAAGCTGCTGACTAACCTGTACACCTTTCTAGGTTACACTGAGAAGCACCAGTCTAAGCAACTTTCCCTTCTGGGTCCCTCAGAAAAGGGTGGCCTCTGAATGGACCATGATTACTTTTGATATCACGTTATGCCCCTTCAGCGTGAACTTTAACAGTGCACAAAATCCTGTGAAATGCTGCTGCTAGAACAAAGCAGAGCATGTGTGAGGTGCCTGGAGAGTAAGTCACAGATACAGCAACTGACACGTCTTTAACACCTGGGCCCAAGGGACTGCCCAGCATCCCTGCAGTTGCAGCCCTTGAACAAATGGCACAGCAGCCACAGCAGCCTGACCTGGAGCCTAGGAATCAGGAAGGAGTCAACTGCAGCACCCACAGTCCTAAGGACCAAAGGAGGCATCTGTGCAGGAGAGGAAAATGCAGAACTCAACTCCACCTCCAGGTTGGGCACCTTCTGAGTTCTGTTCCTGCACTGGGCTTAGCCTAATATGCAGGCTGGGCAAGAAACTATTAACCTTTCCCCTGGGGTCACAACAGACCAACACAAAGTTCCTCACCATCCCAAGTCTCAAGGACTTAGGTTTTATGTAACAAACTTCTCCACTGGCTATTTTACTATAGATACTGCTTCAGAATTCTGGCTATATCCATGCTTCTTACAGACACAACTCTACTTAAAGAGAACCCAACAGGACTGCTCCACACAAAACAGCCTGATTTCTCAGACTTTCTTCCTGGCCCTTGTCTGCTGCTCCCTCTACTGGGAAGTTCCTTGGCCTGCCTCTCTTCCTCACTTTTTTCTCCCTGCTCCAAGGTTGAGGCAGGGCCTCCTTAAAAGAACAGCATTGATCAAACCAGGGCCACTGAGCCACTTTTATTTCCATTGTACCTAGTGATTAGACAAAGCAGGCATTCAAAAACTGTCAGGCCAGTCTGTATTCCTTCTTCCCACCTTTTCATTTGTGACCTACTCTGTGCTCATCAAATCACTGATGAAACTGTTTCCCCATCTGTCTTACTGTCCTGTCACTGTTCGTAATTGGTCAGTAAAACTTTGGCAATACTGACGAAAAAGCCTTCACACTGTCCTTACCATCCTCAATTTTGGCACAGACAATTGGATGCAGTCAGAGCCTGGGTTACTGTACCAGAGGACATTTGCATGGAAAATGAGGTGTCAATATTAAATTCCCATTTTTCCATGTCCTGAGTATTCCTAATGGCAAGAGAAAAGTTGGAAGCAATGACTTTTCATGATATTCTGATTCGTCACTGGAAAAGCTTTCAAGGGACAATGTGCACTAACACTTGTAAGTGCTGCATAAAGTCAGGCTGACTCAAGACCTAGACATTTATTACTTCACTATATCTTGCTCTCAATCCTTTCGACTAGCAGATATAAATCTGACTTATGTAGTTATGGTACTCACTGTATTCACATTACTTTACAGTGTGGACTCTCTGGTGGCGCATAAGGACTGATCTGTGCCTGAAAGCCTTCCCACACTCATTACATATATAAGCCTCATCTCCAGAATGGATTCTCTGATGCTGAACAAGGGCTGAGCTCCTTTTGAAGGTTTTGCCACACTCTGTACACTGATAAGGTTCCTCCCCACTATGAATTCTCTGATGTCTGATGAGGTTTGAACTCAAACTGAAGGCCTTCCCACACTCACTACATTCATAGGGTTTCTCCCCACTATGTATCCTCTGATGGGTTATCAGCTCTGAGCTCTGCCTGAAGGCTTTCCCACACTCGTTGCATTCATAGGGTCTCTCTCCTGTGTGAATCCTCTGGTGTCTGATGAGCTTTGAGCTTTGGCTGAAAGTCTTCCCACATTCATTGCACTGGTAGGGTTTCTCACCAGTGTGGATCCTTTGATGTATAATGAGATAGGAACTTTGACTGAATGCCTTGCCACACTCATTACATCTGCAAGCTTTCTCACCAGTATGAATTTTCCTATGTCTAATGAGGGCTGAGCTCTGGTTGAAGGCTTTCCCACATTCACTACATTCATATGCTTTCTCACCACTATGAATTCTCTGATGAATAATAAGATAGGACCTCAAACTAAAGGCCTTCCCACACTGGTTACATTTATAGGGCTTTTCTCCAGTATGGATCCTCTGGTGCTGCGTAAGAGAGGAATGCTGTTTGAAGCTGTGCCCACATGCGTCGCATCTGTAAGGTCTCTCTTCTGGAGCTTTCTGACATGCTATAGAGCTTGTGCTCAGCACTAACCTTCTCTGAGGCTCATGATGGTCTCTCTTTCCCAGAGATTTGTGTGTGAAGATCACTTGACTAAGACCACCCCCCTGGGACGGCGGTACTCTGAATTTCCCCGCTGTGGTACTCCCTTGCTGCCACTCTACATTGCTGTCCTGTTCACTAACTCCTCCAAATGAAGTTTCCTGGGGAAGTCCTGGTGCTTTTTCTCCAGGTATGTTCTTTGTTGCTGATTCAGTGTTTTCACAATCTGAAATGATAACAGCAAAAACCAGGGTATTTATTTCTCCAGTCACTCTCAATACTCACTTTCTATATAAGAGAAAAACAGGCTTCTACCCACCAAAGTCACTGTCCACACATATCCTTTCTTTAGCTGGTCACAACAGGGCCCCGTTTTCCTTTCTAATACTAAAGCCTACATCAACATCTGAAGTTCATCCTTTTCTCCCTCCTCTGAGACTTCAATTGATCACTTACAAAAGATTCCTTTCCTGTTATTTCCAAGTTTTTTCCACTTACTCCTACTCATCAGCATTCACACAGGCCCGTGTCCCTCATCCTTTCACATCGAGCTTCTTGCCTACACATCTCCCTCATGCAACCTCACTCCCATTCAGAGTAAAGTGTCTTGAAGAGGCTGTCTATACTCAACTTCACTCTGTAATATGGTTTCTGCCTTACCCTGCACCCCCCACCCCCACCCCATCAAGATCACCAACTTCACAGCTGCTTAATCTAATGGACACTTTCTGGACACTTAGTTGGCCTCTCTGCAGCTCTGACACTGGAGACCACACCTTCCTTCTGGAGACATTCTCTTGCAGCTATATTAGCCTGATTTCTGTGGCTCTCCCTTCACAGTTTCAAATGCAATCTCCTCCAGGTTCTGTTCAGAGTCCTCCAGAGGGCTCTCAGGTGTCCTTTCTCTGTAAACTCTCTACCCTCAGGCTTCAACCAACATGTACAAGCTAATCAGTCTACCCTGTCTTTCCCAATTCTCCCTGTTAAAGCTTTATACTCTCAAATACAATACCAATTGGGCATGTTACTTATGAATATTTTATAAGCACCAAAATATCCCAAAGAAACATATCAGATTACTTCTTCCCATTTGTATGAACACCACCACCATTAACCAAGTTGCTTAAGACAGAAACCTGAGTACCACTCTCAACTCCTCTCCCACATACTCACCTGCAACAATGACCAGTCACTGTCACAAGATTTAGTGCCAATGAACTGGAGTCAGGTCTGATGCCCACCACTTACCACATTATAGCTTGATTTAGTCACTGTAGTCACCTGGATTACAATAGTCTAGCACTCTACTCTTGCCTCTCTCACATTCCATTCTCCCCTCTGCAACTACGTTCTAAACACACAAACCTGAAACACAAATACAATCATGTCCAAAATCCCTCCACTGTAACCACTGCACTGTACCAACTGGTCATGGTGACATGTTTTCACAATCTGGGTCCCATTTCCTCTTAGTTTATCCCCTACACCTCTCCCCTATGAATTCTATATTAAGATTAAATTGGATCACCTGCAATTCTCAGCATGGTTTATATTCTCTCACCTTCAGTACTCTGTGGCCTTTGCTTGTGTGATATTGTAACCTAGGAAATGTGTATGTGGCCTTCATCTCCAGTCCCTACACAGCCTTCCTAAGTGGTAGGGGTAAGAGGAGTGTCTATTATTCACAGTAAGCCCCTAAATCCATACCTGAGTTTATGCTAATGAAGTGAATCTCAGAGGTTGGAGGATGGCTGACAAAGGAACCCACCGTGGGATTAGAGAGTTGGAACCTGCAGCTTCACCCTGTCCTCCAGGGAGACAGGCTATAGATTTAATCACCAATAACCAATAATGTCATCAATCAATCATGCTTTAATGAAGGCTTCATAAACACCTAAAACAAAAGGGTTGAGAATGCTCTGGGATGGTGAATGCATCCAAGTGCGAGGAGAGTGGTACACCCCAAACTCCAAAGGGACAGAAGCTCCTGTACTCAAGACCCTTCTGGACTTGACCCTACGTACTGTTTCATCTAGCCATTCATTTGTGTCCTTTATAATAAACCAGAATAGTAAGCAAGTTGTTTCCCTATATTCTGTGAGCTATTATAGCAAATTATTAAACCTGAGGAGGGGGTCATGCAATCTCTGATTTGTAGCCAAACTGGACAGAAGTGTGGGTAACCTGGGAACTCATTACATGCGACTGGCAAGTAGGGGACAGCTCTGAGAGACTGAAACCTTAACCTATGACAGCTGCACTAATTCTGGGGTATCAGCTCATAATTGCTTAATGGGAGAGAAAATCCCACCCACCTGGTGTCAAGAAGTGTTAAGTAAAGATGATTTTTCCCTTTAGCATGGGACACTCCTCCACCCACCTATTCACCTTGCTTTCTCCTACTCAAGTTCGACTAAACTCAGATGCCTTTCTCCAGGAAACATTCCTTGAACCTCAAAGCCTGGTTAGGTGCCTTTTCGTAAGTCTCCCCATTACCCAGTGCCTACTTTTATTCTACAGTTTACTCACTATACTGCAATTGCCTTTTTGCATGTCTACCACCCCATCTACACCTGAAAGCTCCTTGAAGACAGGATCTCTCTACCACAGTACCAGATCCTACCACAGTAGACCACAGAGGGCCTACAACAGTACCAGACATGTATTAGCACACTGTATTAGATTATGCAATGAAGGTATGGCAAATGAACAAATGGCAGGGCAAGAGACACAATGAGGGTTGACTGTAATTCATGAGGGCTACTGAATACAAGTTGCTAAAGCAAGTACCTCTGGTCTAGAATGGTAAAGGTGAGGTTCACATGTGGTTTTTTATAAAACAAAATTTCGTATCCTCAAAACCAGAGGCCTAAATGATAACAGTACCAAGGTATCTATTTCTTACCACTTTTTGGGGAAAGGCAAGGTTCCCAGGGTTTCAGCTGTGTCTTTAACGGCTGGAGTTGGATGTCTGTTAACTCTTGGGATGCTCCAAGACATGTCAAATCCTTCCATGGCACTGCTGCTCCCTGAAGTCAGTAAAACATGCTGAGCTTTGTTAAGAAAATCCATGAGGAAATTAGTAAAAATTTCACAGAGGTCAATGCAGGTAACTCCAGGGCTGAGCAAATGAGCAAAAAGGAAAAGAAAACTATTTAAGGATAGACAGGGGTGGTCCTAGTAGTCATTTCAGGGTTATGGTGCAGTAGAGACAAAAAATTTTCATCCCATAACAAGGATGCCACATACTCCCTCCACTCTGTAAATTCCTTTCCCCATGACACAGCACATCTCCTGGTTCTCACCTGCTGCCCTGGATCATCAAATTCCCTCTCCAAATCCTCCAACAGGGTCACAGCTTCCTCGCCGCTTTTTGGACTATGTTGCTGAACCCAGATCTGCAGCTCTTCAGGCAGGATGCTCAAGAACTGCTCCAGCACCAGCAGTTCCAGGATCTGCTCCTTTGTGTGCAACTCTGGCATGAGCCACTGATGGCAGAGCTCCTGGAGTCGGCCCAGAGCCTCCCGGGGCCCAGGTGTTTCCTGGTAGCTAAACTTTCTGAACTTCTGACGAAACAGCTCTTGGCAGGAGTGGGTCCTCCCATTCTGCTTAAATTTCTGACCCCAGGAAAGGTTTTCTTCTACTTTCACCAGTATTAATTTCTGTTCCTGAGGGTTCTGAGATACCACGGTTGAAACTGCTCTGGTCTCCACAGCCATTCTTGGCTGATACAGCTTAGCCCCAAACTCGCTACAACTGGCACTGCACTTCAGAGCTCTTTGAGTAATCTCTTTCCTGAAGGATACAAAGGCACTGTTAATTTATTGCAGTGAAAAATACCTCTAAGAACTTGTAGAAATAAAGATCAAGGTATTATCAGATCAACAAAGATCAATGTATCATCATGCTAGTAATACACAGAGAGGGAGCTGGACTGAAACTGAAACTAAATAAATAATCAAATGACAAAAAAATCAGTCACCTCATTTAGTTATCTCCCATTTTGTATAATTCCTACCAATGATGCTATAAAAAATTATTTCAGAAGCAAAAGAATGCAACACTACTATGAATCACATAGTGGAAAATTTCCTTTTCAATTCCCTTACAGCCCTGATTGCGACAAGGAGAAAAATCTCTTTAACATGTCTGAAAACTTGCAGGGCTCCCTTTGTAATGTGGACCTCATACTTCCAAGGTTAGCAATATCAGGCTAGGACTGAATCTTGCTGACTTTTGGAGATTTGTTTTCAGTTACATCTATGGTAATATTGACTGCCACTTAAGGTGTTAACATGTTTTTTTTTTATTAAGGTATCATTGATATACACTCTTATGAAGGTTTCACAAGAAGAACAATGTGGTTACTACATTAACCCCCATTATCAAGTTCCTCCATACCCCATTGCAGTCACTATCCATCAACTTAGCAAGATGCCAGAGTCCTTATTTGTCTTCTCTGAGCTACACTGTTTTCCCGGTGATCCCTCACACACCAGGTGCACCAATCATGACACCCCTCAATTCCCTTCTCCCCCACCTCCCCACCCCTCCTCTTGGTAATCACTAGTCCCTTCTTGGAGTCTGTGAGTCTGCTGCTATTTTGTTCCTTCAGTTTTGCTTCGTTGTTATACTCCACAAATGGGGGAAATCATTTGGTATTTGTCTTTCTCTGACCTATTTCACTGATCATATTAATATTAACCTCTTAGCCCCATTCATGTTATTGCTAAGGTATTAACGTTTCTAAAAACTCGTATAAAACCTAAGTGGAGTACAATAAAAACACTTTGGCATCTGCCATTTGCTCACATTTGATGCTCTGCGGGTCTCAGGCAAACGCTGCGGCACTGAGCTAGGGTTAGAAGGCACGCGATCCGCCGAGGAGTAGTGAGAGCCGCTGGTCGGGTACCAGACACATGCGGCAGGCGGGTCAGCGTCGGCTCTCAAGACACGGGGGCAAACATCTCTTAACGTTGCAAGAAGTAACTAGGCGTTAAACCTGCGGTGGAGACCAGCACCATCTGATTTCAAAGCGGATGTGCCCTCGCTCAGGGCAGCGCGGCGCGCCTTGACCCCACACCAGTTACCGTGAGCGCCTGAGCACCTGGGCCACGCCGCCTATCTGGGTCGAGCGCCGCCGGGCAGGAGGCCGCCAGCCGGGGAGCCCACCCGTCGCCTCCCTCCCTCCGTCCCGCAGCCCGCGGCAGCAGAAAAGGCCGCCGCCGAACCGGGGCGGCCCGCCACAAAGGCCGGAAGTGAGCGTCCGCGAACTTCCGCTCGCGGCCCCGCCGAACGTGCGCGCCCACCCCTATCGCAGGCGGCCCATCAGTGCCGAGCATCCTACCCCGGCCCGCCTTCCCCAGGGCTGCGAGCCGCGCAGCTTCCGGGCCGGACGGGCTTCGCGGGGCTCGGGCGTGAGCGGTGCAGTCGCTCCTGGTGCCCCGTCGAGCGAGCCTTCGCTCTCTCCCGCCGCCCTCTCCCTAATTGGTGTCGCGTCACCGCCGAGTCGTGGCTCCTCCAGTTTTCCAGAAAGGGCTCAGGCTTTGCTGTAATAACGCGCGTCAACCGTATCCTGGACAGGAGCACACGCGTGACCGACGGGCTAAGCAAAAGCGACACCCACGCACGCGGCTCCTCCCCACGCGACAGGAGAGTGCGCAGCGTACCCGGGAGCCGAGCTGTGCTCCTTGTACAGCCGTCGGCGCGCCCAGCAATCAGGCTGCTTGGGCCCAGGGGACTCCCAGCGCCCCGCAGTTAAGGAGACAGGGTCCCAAACTGCGACTTTAATGCCCTAGACACTGCAACCTAACGCCCCAGAGTGCCATCGAAACTCCCACACTGCGACCTTAGGTACCAGTCTGCGACCCTTACCCTCAGACTGCCATCCTAACACCCCTGACTGCAACCCTCACCCCCAGAGTGCAACCCGCACTCACCGACTCAGTGAACTGGGTAGTAGAACTGGAATGATGTCCATTGTGATGTCCATAGCCAATGAGAAGATGATATACTTACTACAAAATCTCCAGATTTAATTTGAAATTCAGGGTCATAACCTGACACTCTTGGCACATTACTAAGCTTAATGGGTACTCATATAATTTAAAATAAGTCTCAAATTGCAGTTAAAGTGTTATCAGTTTAGTTTTGTGTTTAAATAGCATAGCCATGGATTTCTCAGTCTCGTAGGCAACTGCGTGGAATCTGGGTACTCAATACCCATTTACATGGAGAGCATATCAGGATCTCTTAAAACTTTAAAATCAAGGAGAGTATTTATTATAATAGGGAGTAAACATGACAACATGGAAGAAAACACACAAGTGACTGCATTCTGTAATGATTGAATCTAACCAAACCACACAAAGTAAACTCTGATAAGTAATTATCTTTTTCTATCTAGCTTGCCCAACATTTTACCATAATTTTATTACTCTGTAAAAGGATCACATGCTAGTAACATCCTATAGGTATAATAAAATACATGAAGGTGTTAAGTATCAGTCTTAACAGGAGTACCTACACAATGAGGTAAACTCTATTTTTACTGAAGTGCTTACTTTTTAAAAAGAATGAATAATTGACCTTAAAATCCTTTTTAATTTTTGTAGTAATTTGTATTATAATTGTTAGTATCTATGTAATAATATATATGTAAAGGAGTAGTATTATAAATGGTAAAAATATATCACACATTAATCACGTTTATTAGACTGAAAGGTCATCAAATGTGCACAGGAGAGGTGTTCCAGAATACTTACACATATTTCAATCTCCTATTTTCTGAAGCTCCCCTTGTTCCTTTACTTCTGCCTTTTCTCCTCTCTGTCCTGGCAGAAACCTTGCTGGTTTGTGTTGTATTACACCTGCTGCGAATTAACAAACGGGTAATAATTAACAACAGGGGTGACACTAGTTTCCAAATGGTTGAAACCATACAATGACCTCTACTGCTTTGGAAATACACTTAGACTGGAACCAACAGAGTGCATAGATTTTTGTTTACCCTGTATTCCACAGTCCAGTAATTCATTGGCAGTTCTGAATATACAGAATGAAGTCACGGAATTCTCGAGACCATTTCCCTGGGATGTGCTGCCACCTCTTGGCCACATAAAGCAGGGCAGATGCAGTAGGATCCCATGAAAGCCGGCAGTAAAACACCGAAAATTTGGATTTTCAACATCTAAGGGAGCCATCAAATATTTGAACTATAAAGAAAAAACATAATTGTCCAAGGAGCCAAAATACCTGGAATACTTTCCATAAACTTACATGAAAAAAAAAAGATGCTGTAAGAGACTAAACAATGGCTACTTTTGAATTATACAAACAACAAGAAAATTAGCCTTGGAGAGTTTTATTGTGAAGCTCATAAGGTTCAGGTTATCTTATGCTTATTCAGTCTTGTAAATTTGTCATCACATTTTAAAACTGATGGCACATGTGAAAACAAAAGAACTTTGGCATAAATGGCAAAGCTGGATATTTAAAATGTCATATGAAATGTGTGCTACACCTCCATTTTTTGACATTTAACTTAGTAAGCCATCTTTATCAAGCACTACTCAGCTAAGCACTCTACAAGGTTCTGTGATTACTGTGGTGAATAAAAGACACAGGTCCATCCCTCCGGACATCCAGTCAAAAGGTGACACTGAGTCATCAAGGAATTCTGCATCAGCAGAATAAGGTACAGAATACACAGGATTGTTTGGGGGCTTGGAGGAGGAACGCTCAACTCCAGCTTGGATTATGGAATATAAAAGACAAACGATTAATGCAAACATTCTCTACTAGGCACACTGGTTTACAGTTGACCATAGATTTAAATTTATGCCTCTCATAACAAAAACTTAAAATACAGCTTTATATTGTCAGATTTTAATCTAAAACAGATATTACTCATTGTAATATTTCCTCCTCTTTCTTCTCCTAAGGAGCAGACATTTTAGAAAAATTGTATGCTATTTTCATAGTTAAGATGTAAATAACAAGTGCTCAGACACAAATGACTAGAGGCTATGAAAGTGCATATTTATAATCGGAGTGGTTTTAAACCATGTATCTTAGGGATGATCACTTTTACTTACCAATACTGAAAACACGCTGTCTCCCATCCTACCGTACAAGTCAATGTTCCATAAGAGACTGTTTCTTTCAATTGGTTTTCATTTATTTAGATCTGCAGGTTTTAAGAACATAATTCCCGTCTAATTTTAAATTTGTTTGAAATGAAAGGGCTAGTTGCCAGCCTGGAATGAAAGAATGAATGAATAAAATAAATAAATGTACAAATAAGTAAATAAATAAGCTAATAAACATGCACACAGAGTACACGTACACACAGACAACAAGCTGTTGGGATATTTCTCTAGATCTTAGGTATTTCCTACTGTAAAAGCGACTTTCTCCTGCCCTTGCCCACTTCTATTGTTGTCTTTTTCTTATATTTTATGCCCCTTCAAAATGATGTGGCATTCTTAGAGCTCAGGATGTCATAAGATGCTGTTGCTAATGCCTCTAAAATTTGCTGAACTATCTGATCATTGTTCCTGTTGTAAAGTAAATTTTAACTAATTTCTTGAGCTGTTGAATGGGAAGTCACCTTTTAGTATTTGTCTCAGGTGCTCTTTGTAGCATCTTAAAACTCCCAGTCTCTGATTAGACAGTGTTTACCAGAATATTTCAGTCTAAAGAAAGATTGCTTGGGATAACTTTTAATAGAGGTTAAAATGAATAAAATATATTTTTCCTAATCTGCTTAAAGTTGTTTTTAATCCAAGCTTTTTAGCAGATAAATTTTTCAAAGTTTAAAAAAATAGGAATAAGATGGAAATCTTTCATTATCCACTCAGTTCCATCTACCTGTCTATCCTCTGGAGAGCCGGTATAAGTAGTCTGTTAAGAAATATTCCAGATTTTCTTTGTGCATATGTAAGAAAATCAAATACATTTTCTTATTTTACCCCTTTTACTCAGATGGTATACTCTATTTTCACTCTGCTGTTTAAAAAAACTAATAACATACCTAGAGATCTTTCAAAGAGCTCTTTCAACTTTTTTTTACAACTTTATAATAGTCTACCATGTAAAATATATTGAACCATAATATTCAATCATTAGCCTCCAAATGATGGGCATTTTGGTTGTTTAAAATCTCTTGCTGTTATATTCAATGCTACCAAGAATAACCATGTACATTTTAAACTGGGTATTAATTTTTTCTTACTGTTTTCTGTAAGTTTTTTTCACTTATTGTTTTGTGTGTATATGTATTTGTTTTGGTATTTTTTCCCATGTAGAACTTCTTGTTTTTTATATAGTTAGTTTTCTATATTGCTTTTTCTATGGCTTCTTCATTTTGTATCATGGTTACAAAAGTTTTCCTTACTTTACAGTTATGAAATCAATTTCTATTTTCTTCTATACTTTTATTGCAGATTTTTTACATCTGATTCTTTGATGCATTTTGAATTTATCCTGATGTAGAGTATGGGCATAACCACTTCTTTTGCAGGGTGGCTATCCAATTGTTATAACACGACTTATTGAGTAGTCCATCATTCCCTGATTAATTTCAAATGATACTCTCTTCATATATTAAATCTCCATATGTATTTATTTGCTTTATTTCTCTAGGTGAATCGGGCTATATACATGTGTCAGTTTTCCTAGGAAGCTTTAGATTTATTAAACTTTGATGTGATTTATGTTTGTTTTTGTCCAATGAATATAATGGGGGCAAACATCCTGTGCTTTGGAAGGAATATTTTGATTCTCAGGGTAAGGTGTGACTGAAGTCAGATTACAAAGCTGCCCATGCCTGCACTTGATATGCTCAGCGTCAAGTCATTTTGTGTTCATCCTGCAGGTTAAAGTTTTCTTGGATGTGTTAGAGAGATGATTAATATAAATATTTTATTAACTATGTAGGCTCCCAGGTAATAACTGTGTATTGTGGATATGAACTAGATCATGTAAATAATCAAAGATAAAAGAGGACTTGATTTTGTCCCACTCTGCAACACAGGAAAACCAGAATATGTGAGCAGCACTAAGTACTCATAGGACAATTCTTCTTTGAGTGTATTATTTCAGCTATTCCTTACCATAACATAGTAGATGTTATTTCATTTTATGGATGACAAAACCAGAAAGAGATAGGTTAAATGAGACCAAATTCACATAGGGAGGGATAGAGCCTGGATTTGAATGTTGGCAGGGTTTTGTTTGTTTGCTTTTGTTTTTGTTTTTGAGATAACTACAG